TATTTTCGGGTCGGTTCCGGGTCCAGGTTAAAATGCCCAGGCCTAATTGTGACAATTTCAAGTGAGTTCATGAGACACAATTAAAGCGGTGATATTTTCCATTTAAAGAGAAAGAAACCACTACTCTAGCATATTTTAGGAGTTTGGATATAAATATAATTTTTTTATTCGTTTACACCATAAGCTTAGCTAAACATATAAATAAATGAATTAGAAAAAAAGAAACAAAACATATAAATAAATGAATCAGAATAAAAACCAAATGAATAAGCTATTTGATGTTGGTTACTTCTCGCTTCAGATTTATGAAAAAAGAGTAAAAAGAAATCTTCAGTTTAGAAAAAGGAAATTTGTTGTAAAAAGGAATAACTGAGGTCAAACAGTCAACGTAAACATTTGACTTGTTTGAAAGAAAAGGAAATTTTGCGTGAGGAAAAAGGAAAATCTTAAAACATATATATATATAATCACACACATAAGTATTCACTACACTTTTCCAAAAAACCTAGAAAACAAATCGCAAATACAGACTACATTTTCTTCGTTTCAGAAAAAAAAAAACAAATTGAGAGAGATGACGAACATCCGCGAAATATGGTCGTGGAACAAGACAGAAGAGATGAGTTTGGTGCGGGAGGCTCTTAGAAGGTGTAATTACATCTCTGTAGACACCGAATTTCCGGGCTGTCTGAAACAGACCACCATGGAAGAAAGCGACGATACTCGTTACCAGAACTTGAGGTTCAATGTGGACGAAACCAAACCAATTCAACTGGGTTTCTCTTTATTCAACAGTGAAGGAAGAATCAGCGGAACCTGGGAGGTCAATTTCTCCGACTTCGACGAGACAGAGGATCCTTGCAACGAGAAATCCATTGCCTTTCTCAAGCGTAACGGGCTCGATTTCCAGAGAATCAGAGAGGAAGGGGTTGGTATCAAAGAATTCTTCACAGAGTTTACTCAGATGATTAAAGATGATGATAAGAAGATGAATTGGGTTACTTTCGATGGATCGTATGACTTAGGTTATATAATTCAATGCATGACCGGACGAGAAAGTCTTCCCGACACATCACAAGGGTTTCAAGAAACGGTTCAGAAACTTTTAGGGCTAACTTTCGATGTGAAGAAACTTGCGGGACAGTGCAAAGGACTCAACAGTCGTTTCGGGTTGCAAAGATTAGCGGACGAGCTTGGTATCAGACGTGTCAGAGAAGCGCATCATGCTGGATCCGACAGCCATCTGACTGCTCGTGTATTCACCAACTTAAGTCGCACTTTGTCTCGTGACCTAAAGAGAAAGCGAGAATACGAGCATCTGCAACAATACACTGACATGCAGGAAGCTACTGAACGAGAGCTTGTGATGAGAAAGCTGGAACATGACAGACTGCAACAACACATTGTTAT